GGAAGAAGAAAACAAAGAGCTAGCATTTCCAGAAGTTGGGAAACATGCAACACTATATCATAGCTCCCTTCTCAAGACTTCTTCCTACAGTCACTCAGCCACATGCCTCCTGATGATCCTGAGATGGTAGAGCTGAGAGTGAGGAGGTGAACAGATATGGGGAGATGCTATAGGTGTTGACTAGAGATGGGCATGAACATCTCTTGACTAGAGATGGTTCATAAGCATGGCACCACAGGTGCTGCGCATTCCTGCCCCCCTCCTTACTGGCTCAATTTCCCACCCACGAGCTGGTGTGCACTCCACTCCACTCCAAAGGTGCTGCGCATTCCTGCCCCCCTCCTTAATGGCTCAATTTCCCACCCACGAACTGGTGTGCACTCCACTCCACTCCACTCCACCTCTTCCTCTTCAGCTGTTCAATCAGTCTATGGCAGGAGTACAGGCTTCCCTGTCTCACCTCCTTGGCTGATCACCCACTCAAACAGGGAAGCAAGATAGGCAAACCCATGCTTTGTCAGGGACTGGTCCAATAGCCGAAGAGGAGTGAGTGGGTCACTGGATGAGGAGGCAAAGGAAGGGAACAAGCAGTACCTGTGGTGCTATGTATAGAAATAAGCATGAACCGCTGAACCGAGGTTTGTGCCCATGTCTAATCTTGACTAAGAATGTTTCATTCCCCAACATACACCCTGGTCTACTTGACCAGGTGTGCTCTAGGGAGCTTACTGTAAAGCAAAGATTCCAAAGGCTGGCATATAAATCTAGTGCATTAAGCTTATTAGGTAGGCTGCCTTCATTCCCATAAAAGAATTAAAAACTCAGTAGTTTGGTGAAGGCTAGGACTGTCTTTAAAGGGACATGGTGGCGCTCGGGTTAACCGCAGAAGCCTGTGCTGCAAGGTCAGAAGACCGAGCAGTCATAAGATCGAATCCACGTGATGGAGTGAGCTCCCATCGCTTGTCCCAGCTCCCACCAACTTAGTGGTTCGAAAGCATGCAAATGAAGGTAGATAAATAGGGACCACTCTGGTGGGAAGGTAACAGCATTCTGTGTCTAAGTCGCACTGGCCATGTGACCACGGAAGATTGTCTTCGGACAAACGCTGGCTCTATGGCTTGGAAACGGGGATGAGCACCGCCCCCTAGAGTCAAACACAACTGGACAAAAATTGTCAAGGGGAACCTTTACCCTTTACCTAGGACTGTCTTTAGTACCACACTCCCTCTCAGCCAGTTTCTTGAAAAGATTTTTGTATTTTATTAAAAGAATAATAAACTAAAAGGAAAATTTAAAAGAATACAAGCTCTACGGTTACAAGGAAAAGATAGTAAAAACAAATCAGGAGCAAATGTAATTACAGGAATATAGCATTCAAATAAAAACTCACCAGAAAATAATAAATATATCTTAAAACAAGCTCTTAAAAGTATTAAATAACTGCCGTGGGTCATGTGGCTGAACCAAAATAGTAGACTGATAAAAAACCTGCTTAGGTTTATCTAAATTTTAAAAATACTTTCTCAGTGCAAATTTTCGAAGGTGACGGGAATGCTCTGATGCAGCACACTTCATTGTCATTCTAAATGACGAAAAGAAAACTGCTCATTTTAAAGCTCTTGAGTCAGCCAAGGGTGAACATTGCGGGCTAATTGCTCCAAAGCAGCACTAGTTGCCATTTGGAAAGTAGCAGTGAATTCAACTACTGAGCTGACTTGTAAACTACCATTAACCTGCAAATGCTGTGGCCCTGACCAATTCAAAAATGGCTGTAAGGTCTCCTGATTTAGGGGCTGACATAAAATTGCTAGAAGAAACTTTAGACACAATCCTTGTGCTAACCATCTGAATAGGCACAATAGGGGGAGGAGGAAATGTACAAAAACTATGCAAGAAAAAAATTATTAGAGAGGCCACTATCTAAAAAGTAGCTGGATTATAGCCCCCTTGTAAATAAATAAATTATAGCCCCCTTATAAATAAACAAATCCAAGGGTCTATTATAATCATATTATGAGTATGTAATTCAGAAGAAAAGTCCTCCCACAATTATCCAAGGTGGCTTTAGATCTAAAAAGCTAGATAATTCCCCCAGGAAGTTCATTTCCAAAGTTGAGTTTGGAGGATGGTAAATGCATGCCAATCTCACTACAGGATGTAGTAAAGAAACAGAATGAACCTTGAAGGAAGTTAACACATCAGTTCCCATCTGATGGACTGGCTTGCTGGCAAAAGCTGACTTGAATACTACTGCAACCCCTCCTCCACATCTTGCTAGGCAATGGGAATGGGAGCAGATTTAGCCTCCTGTAGAAAAGGTGGGTAAAGCCAAAGATTCATCCTGAGCAAACTGTCTCTGAAATGCAAGCAGCTGAAATAGATTGATAAATTAAGTAGTTCAACAAAGTATCTGCCTTACAAACAAGGGATTGGACATTCCATACCAGGCAATGAAGAGAAAATTGTGGACTGTCAGATCACAGAAGAACTGCCAATGTCCATGAAGTAACTGTCTACTGCTGTTGAATAACTACCCACCCCCTTCTTGGCCTAAATTGCAGCACTGGAATAAGCTAAAGCTGTAGACATATCCTAATGATATACTTAACAGATGTTCAAAACAATTCTTATTTCAAGTGTCTGATGCAGTCCCTCAACACAATCTTCAGAACAAACTCATAGTGTTTGTTGAATGTCTCTCCTCCCACATACTTAATTGTTTAAATAGTTAATTACTTCAGCTGCACAGAGCATCTTATCAGTACTGAAGAAGTAGCTGAAACAGCAAAGACATATCAGCACCATCCAGTGAGTTGAAAGGATATTAGAAATAATTCAACCTTTCTAGGTACCAGGTAGGTATTATGTCTTGATGAGAATCTCCGTACACTTACAAGGCTTGCAAAGATTAGAAACCAAGAAGCAGGAAACAATTAATTTTAAACCCTAAAAGACTAAAATGCTAAGGCTGTTAATAAACTTTTCAAACTATGTTCTAATAAATTGTCCTCCATCCTTCTTTGGTCTTCTTGAAGGCAACGTAAAATTCCCCTTGGTGCAGCAATTCCCCGAGAGGATAGCTCATGTTGATTAACATATCAGAATAAAGCCTGAATATGCTGCTTCACCTGAAAAAATTAATTCTGGAAATACGCCTCATGTACAAATTAAACATTACTAATTTTGATTTTAAAAGAATTTGACATAGCAGTACATCCAATACAAGTAAACTGTTTCAAATATCATATGATTTAAGTAAAATAGCATCAAGTGGTGAGGATGATGGGGCAGCCACATATTGTAATACACATAGAAGATCATTAGGAGAAGCTATGGCTGGCCTTTGATCATTTGGGACTCCAAGTAAGGTTCCCGGCATTTTCATGCCATTTGTTCATCATCTGGATCATTTTAATTTTACCTCATCACCATTGTTAACCTCATTTGAAGTCCACTACACCCCCTCCCCCGGTGTGGTTCAGCAGATAAAATGAGAGACCACGACTCTGGAGGACAGGGTACAAATCTCCAGTTGACAATGGAAACTCATTTGGACGTGCATGGAACTAGTAAAACCACTCCTTAAATATATCACTTACCTTGAAAGTCCTGTTAGAGTCACTATAAATCCGTTCTGACTTGACAGCACAGAACACACACCTTTTGATGCATGGTTAGCAGGAGTTTTTCATCTCTGATATTTAACTCAGAATGGGTGAAAAGTTTTGTTAAAATTTCTCAATAAATGCATTCCAAACATTGTTTAAAAAATTATATGTTAAAGGTTTTTAGCAACTTGAGATTATGAAAAGTTCAAACAACACAGAGGAAAACAAAACAAAATATTCCATCTATCCAGATAACCTGGAGTGTTTAATCTGAAATGTTCAAAGTATGGTTTAGATTTTCTGCATATTCAACCAGATTTGTGGTGCTGAATTAGCATTCCTATTATTTTTCTTCTCTTGACAGGTTTCTCATCTTTATCACACATATAGCAGGCAGGGTAGAGCATTCTCCATGCTGTAAATAGCACTACTTATCAAGTTTGGCCAACACAGATGGGTGAGAACATAGCTGGAAGATACATAGCTTACTCCATGGAATCTGTGTGCATGGCTGCATAAATACATTAAAAGTGGAGCCATAAAATACTTCTAGGTAAGCCTCTCTGTACTTACTCCTGAGCAGAGGCATATAAGAATGCAGTATTAATACTGATCCATTGTTCTCCTTTTGTTGTCCAACAATCTGCTTTTCATTTCTAACCATGAAAGCTTAACATTCAACCTCTAAATGAAGCAGCCCCCTTGAATTAATAGGAACTTGCTAAATCAACACTTGATGTCAAATCTATTGATTCGATGGGTCTACACTAGCTGGGACTAACAACGGGACTTAAGCTCTGCTTGTCATCTGTCATTTTAGAGAATAAACCCCAAGGTCTGAGGAGGGACTGTAGATTTACAGCTTGACTTTATTGGGGAGGACCAATGTGTTTCCCTGATCTGGCGGTAGACTGGAAAGGGCAGGCTTTTAAAAAAAACTTCTGAGGGAATGGGAAGGCTTCTCTGTTGAGGTGATCCCGGACTGGGATGGAGTGGTCTCCTCTTTTCTCTTCTGAGACCACGACAATGCTTGTCTGGCTGAAGGGAAAAGCTTATGAACTGGGCAAGATAAGATGTAAGGAAGCTTCAGGCTCCTCTTCACGCGAGGGAGTGTCCGGCAGGCAATGGAAGCGGATGAAGAGGAGAACCACCACTACCACCACCCCCGGCTGAGGCGGCGGCTGGAGAGGGGCACTGCCTCGCGAGCCGAGTCGCCGGCCGGAAGTTTCTGTCCCAGGGCAGGAGCCCGTGAGGCGTCCGTCCCCTGAAGAGCCGAGAGCGCCTCACAGCCATCGCCGCCCCTGAGGCAACGACAGGGAGCGGCGGGAAGCCGAGGCCAGTCAGAAGCACTTGCTGCGTGACGTCACCGCCCGGGCTGGCTATAGGCTCTCTTGAAGCGGCGGCGGCGGCGGCGGCTTTGCCTCTGCCGGCTTCGCTCAGTGCTTTCCGCAGCCGGTGTGCGACCGCGGCGGCAGGTCGGGGGGGCTCCCTCTCTCGCTCCTCTCTCCGGCACACACGCAAACACACACACGCACAAACATACACCAGACTCTGTTCAGGTAAGGTGTAAGGGGTTGGAGTAGTGCCTCTTCGTGTCTGTCGCCCGCCTTCTTCGCCCTTGCAGCCTCA